CTCCCTTACTGTGCCTCTGAGGGGCGTATACCCGCTTCCCCACTTCTTCGTATCGGCTCCTCACACTTACACTTCTGACAGGGGCGTCGACCGATTTTCCTCCTCCTTCGTCACGTGACCGCTCTCGGCCAATGAGGTCCTGGTCGGGTATCTTTCCTCCTCCTTCGTGCGTCATGTGATCTTATTTAGCCAATGACGTCTTTAGTCGGGCGTGGACAATCCGTGGCTTTGTTTTGGGAAAGAAATACCTTGCTTAAAAAAAAAAAATATTAATTTAAATCGCCCTTATCATGAGCGACTGAGATGACACTCTCGGCTTTTTAACACGTGGTATTTGTCAAGCAGTTTATCGCTAATTGGATATGATCTAAGAAAGGAATTTCTCAGACCTGTTTGGCGTTTCTGAAGCAGAATAAAAATATTTCATTTTCTTTTTGGCTCGAAGGTCTGATAACAAAAATCTTTATTATCGCAGGGCCAAAAGTTTATTCTGTCAAAAAAAAAAAAAATTTGCCAGTGACAACATCTTGTGTGGGCTTTTTTTCTGAAGACTGTCTATGTACAAATAAAAAGATCTGAAATTGATAACGTTTTCCTTCCATGGAACAGCATTAAACAGATACACGTCTTCAACTTAACGGTTTGTCTTCATTCCTTAGATCATTCCATTCCAACGACACACTTTCCACTTGTTACTTATCAATATTTTCATTGTCCCTAAACTTGTTTCTTCTTTTTCCTTTTCTTTCTTTTCCCTTGGTTGACATCCAATTGATAACAAACTTCCATTTTTCGGGATCTCGGTCAGATGCTTGTTTGCAGTTGACCTGAATATTTTTCGACACCTGTTATCTATCAGCCGTGTGCGTGTGTGCTCGCCTATGACCTGTTTTCGTATTATTTTTTTTCTTTCTTCTTCTTCGTTTTCTTTTCTTTCTCCCAGATCGCTTGAATGTAAAGAAAGAATTATTCTTAAAACCCAAAAATATTTTTCGGCCTTAAATAATTATTAAATGGTTGATAAACCGTAAAAAAACAAATCATATATCTATGAATATTTCTTTCAGCTCGTCAGGTATGCATGGTGCCACACAAGTCTTTCTTTCTTTCTTTCTCTTTACGTTTTCTTTCATTTTCCCACTGAAAACTTGTAGCGCCTCTGATATAATCTTTCCATCTTTTCAAGCAATGAAAATTCAATAGTCCATTATTTATGAAGTATTGACAGGGCGTACCTGACATAGGTAGGAAACAACAGAAGTATAATAAGTTTATTAGTGAAAATGTTGAGTCTGTTCATGGGTAGAATATTGACGATTTTTCATCTGATAAAAAATGAAGATGAAATTAAATGCTATTCAAAACTAATAACTAGTGACAATGCTTCATCAGATAAAAAATGAAGATGAAAGTAAATACAAGTCAAAAATGAATAATAATTCTTGACAATGCTTCATCTGATAAAAATGAAGATAAAATTAAGTACTAATCAAAAATGAATAATAATTGTTGACAATGCTTCATCGGTTAATAAAATGAAGATGAAAATAAATATAATAATTGTTGACAATGCGTCATCTGATAAAAAATGAAGATGAAATTAAATACTCGTCAAAAATGAATAATAATTGTTGACAATGCTTCATCTGATAAAAATGAAGATGAAATTAAATACTTGTCAATATTGATTATTGTTGACAATGCTTCATCGGTTAAAAAATGAAGATGAAAATAAATATAATAATTGTTGACAATGCGTCATCTGATAAAAAATGAAGATGAAATTAAATACTAGTCAAAAATGAATAATAATTGTTGACAATGCTTCATCTGATAAAAATGAAGATGAAATGAAATACTTGTCAATATTGATTATTGTTGACAATGCTTTATCGGTTAATAAAATGAAGATGAAAATAAATATAATAATTGTTGACAATGCGTCATCTGATAAAAAATGAAGATGAAATTAAATACTTGTCAATATTGATTATTGTTGACAATGCTTCATCGGTTAATAAAATGAAGATGAAAATAAATATAATAATTGTTGACAATGCGTCATCTGATAAAAAATGAAGATGAAATTAAATACTAGTCAAACGTTAATAATAACGGTGTATAATACTTCATCTAATAAAAAACGAAGATGTAATAAATACTAGTTGAAACTTAGGAATGTTATTTGACAATGATTCATCTAATAAAAATGAAGATGCAAATAAATACTAGTTAAGCATCACTGATAATTTGTTGTCAATATTTCACTTGATACAAAATAAAAATGAATGTAGATATTATGAATGTTGTTACAATGAGTACTGTGATAATTTGGGAATGTTTTCACTCTGCTAATACTCGGGTGATATACGCTTCATCGAGAGAACTATAAACCGAGCCAAGTACGACAATGTTTTGCAATAACATATTTCCTTCGCCAGATAACTCCACGTTGAAGCGATGCTAGGTTTTACATCAGGACGTGGACCCACAAAAACACAGTATTGGGTGACTAAATCTTAGAACTTAGAAGCATATATTAATGTGATTGAATGGTCCAGCCAACCATCGGATTGTAACCGGGTATAGCATTTATTGAAAGCTCTAAGAATCAAACTAGCGAAAGGCAAAAGTCAACGGCCTACACTTGCACAGACAAAAAAAAAATTACTCCATAAAAAATCGAACAAAAAACCGGTGATACAAGTGAATCTCTGCCTGAAACTTGTCTCATTCCCCATGAAACGTTCAAAATACTTCATATGGCCTTTTGGGCGGTGAATTATTTTCCTGCATACAGACGAAACGTCGCAATCCTATAGCTACTCTGTCGCCATTTCCATGGATGAGTCCCATTTGTGGAACCCCGTCGCAGAATTGTGGAAAAATGCAATAGATTTAAGTTATATTAGTTAAACTCAGAAACTAACGCATTTTCCTACTTGGGCCGGTTCCAGAAAATTTAACTTCTAGTCATCAGCGGCGTAATATGAGACGCGCAGGATTCTTTGAATTTTAAAGCAATTAAGATTTGTTGTTTCCTATGAATGTTTGGGGGATCACTTCAAAATATGATCAACAATACGTTCCCTCCTTAAAAATGATATTTATAAATTGGAAAAAAATATTTATTAACCAATAAACTTATGAGATTAATAAATCTAATTTTTAGTTTTTCTGGAGCCAATTTTTCATAAAAGTGATTTAGTTCGCTAATTAATTTTTAAGTTAACCCTTGACCAGGAATCGTTCGTTTGTTATACAAAACTGAAAGATTCAAAACTTAATTACTCACATTTTCACATATTTATTCGAGTATACCATATTACAAAAATAGTCTTAGCGATATTGACAAAAAATTATACGAGCCGAGCTATTTGTCAATATTAGCATTAGTGTTGAGACAGTTCACTGCTTATTCAGCTGCCGACTGCTACAAATTATACGCATACATAAAACAACGTAAAATGTGACACATATATTTTCACATGTAAACGCATACTGTTTCTTCTATACTATCGCAATTCATTCAATTTTGTCGTAAAGCCGACAAAATAAATGTTTTGTGTTAACTTGTTTCGCAAAGGAATTTTGTTATTCATTTCTTTTAATTTGAAAACAATTTAATGTTCTATAATAAATATTTAAATTTGTAGTGTTCTTCGTTTTATATATATATATATATATATATATATATATATATATATATATATATATCAGTAATTAATTTTGGGGATTTAAACATAGCAATGAGTCTAGAAGTATCCTCAACAGAATGCAGAAACCACTGGACGGCCTTTTTCGTCCTACCTGGAAGTCATCAGCAGTGCGCAGAGAATCGAACCCGGACAGAGAATCGAACCCGGACAGAGAATCGAACCCGGACCGTTTCGATACAACGTAAACGTCATACCGAGACTTGGTGACGAAGAAGACACAAGAAGACACTCACTCAGTTCCGCAGCGATACTCATCCAAGTATTGAGATAACCTCAGAACAGTGCCCCAAGAGCCACGACTGCTTTTTGACCAATATATATATATATATATATATATATATATATATTACTCTACACATTCTTTATTCCCACCTGGTCAGAACTTTGCAGCTAAAAACCATCCCTCCATGTATTTCTTCTATTTTCCGTATTACCTCAGGATGTTGGCGGTCATGGCTGTACACCATTTCTTATGCTTTGTAACTCTTAGTAAAGTTTATCTTTTTGCTGTCTCTCCTAATCCTCGTCCTGCCAACCAAGCTCGTTAATTAAGACACGCGTGGGTTTTCTCTGTTCCCCGTGCCTTCAGTCGTTCCTGTTAGTGTCAAATTTTCCAAACCCTCTTTTCTCTTTTAGTGTCTTAAAACATTTCAACTGTCTCTTTCTGATGTTCAGTATAGCGTGTCGATTTGTTTATTCATTTTCTCTAAAACTTCGTCATAGCTCACATGTTGAGTCCATCGTATTCTCAGCATCCTTCAGTGGAGCCATATTTCCGTAGAGAAATTTTCATGTTTCTTAATAATTTGCTTAGTATTTGGAAGGCATGTTTCGCTATCCCAATGCGCCTTTATATTTTGGTGTCATCGTACGCTTTGTATTTCTTTGGTAATGTCATTTAGACAGCTTCTTCCAACAGAGAACACACACGTTGGGAAGCAACACACAAAAGTAACCCCTTCAAGTTTTTTAAAGGGATCTAGCCTACATATCCTCATAATCTTCACTTACTTTCTACTCTTCCGTCCATACAACCTCACTCAGCAACACTCTAGCTTAAGTGGCTCTTGTGCTTGTTGTTAGGGAAGATTTAGTAATAAAATGTTGCACAAGAACGTACTAAGTAATACTTTCTTAGATGTCATAGATACATTATTCCTATTTCTAAAAAGGATTTGATGTATGTGCGATTAATTGATCTTTGAAGGTAATTTTCTAATTCCAAACAAGTAAACCTGGTGTATACTAAATTTCATACTGCTGCAATAAATTTGAACATACACAGACAAACAGATAGATAGATAGACAGACAGATAGATAGATAGATAGATAGATAGATAGATAGATAGATAGATAGATACTAAGGAATATACTTAGCATATCTGTTTATAAATATATGTGTGTGTGTGTGTGCGTGAAAGATATGAAATAGACCTTATATAGATTGATAGATAATGAACAGACTGAAATATATAATGAATAAACTGATAGATAGATAGATAGATAGATAGATAGATAGATAATGAAGAGAAAGAACGAAAGTGGGCAGGCTAGATAGGTAGGTAGGTGCTAATGAACAGGAAGAAAGAAGGAAAAAACTAAGATATAAACTAAGATATATATATATATATATATATAGATAGATAGATAGATAGATAGATAGATAGATAGATAGGAACAAATTGTGATAGATGGAGAAAACAGATTAAGATAGATAGATAGATAGATAGATATTGGCATAGATAGATAGATTGATAGATAGATAGGAACAAATTGTGATAGAGAGAAACAGATTAAGATAGATAGATAGATAGATAGTAATTGGCATAGATAGATAGATAGATAGATAGATAGATAGATAGATAGATAGTAACAAATTGTGATAGATAGAGAGAAACAGATTAGATAGATAGATAGATAGATAGATAAATTGTGATAGATAGAGAGAAACAGATTAGATAGATAGATCGATAGATAGATAGATTGATAAGAACAAATTGTGATAGAGAGAAACAGATTAAGATAGATAGATAGATAGATAGATAGATAGATAGATAGATGGATATTGGCATAGATAGATAGATTGATAAATAGATAAGAACAAATTGTGATAGAGAGAAACAGATTAAGATAGATAGATAGATAGATAGATAGATAGATAGTGATTGGCATAGATAGATAGATAGATAGATAGATAGATAGATAGAGAGATAGATAGATAGATAGATATTGACATAAATAGATAGAAATAGATAGATATGAAACACAGGTATATAGATGAATTGACACAAGTGGGTATTATCAGTCATAGATTGACATGAAGGGAATTAAATTAATAAAGAAAGAGAGTGCGAGAGATAAAATTCGAGTTTCACTTTTGTAAGGAAATGATTTAAATTGCCAGATGTAATCGAACAAAGGGCAATGCTACGAAAAGGGAAAATCAGCCAACTGACAGATATCTTAAAGAGTGACAAGAAACAAAAACAATCAAAAACGGAATAAAATCAAGAGAACTGAAGAGAGAAAGAAAATAAGAAATAAGAAAGATTTCAACAGGAAAAAATATGGCGAACGAAAGAATAACGGAAGATTAGAATAAAAAAAATAGCAATGTCGGGAGGATTATTTTCGAAGGAATAATTAAAATAAAAACTTAATATTACAAAGAAAAACTGCCAAAAAACACGTTAAAAATTTAAAGAAAATAATTAGAAAATAAATTGAAGCCGCGTAAATATTTCATCATGTGCCTCGGGTGGTAGACATTATGACAAGTGTTTTAGGTTGTCAAAAACAAAAAGTGATTTAAAAAAAATCATAGAATGATAAAAATTGGCAGTAAAAGTTTTAAAGAATAATAGGCACAAGATATATTCAAAGGAATTAAGCTTCTGGGAACGAGGCTCCACTCCAGAAAATGGTAATGGGCAATATAAGGACGTTTAATTGAAAGCCATAAAAACCAGGGAGGTTCTAGATGCATAGAAAGAATTAAGTAATATTGATTGCAAAAAGTCATGCTGCCCCTTAATTGGCTATTAGGTAAAAATAGATAGATACATAGATAGATATATACGAACAGACTGAGATAGATAGATAGATAGATAAATACGAAAAGATTGAGATAGATAGATAGATAGATAGATAGATAGATAGATAGATAGATAGATACGAAAAGATTGAGATAGATAGATAGACAGATAGATACGAACAGACTGATATATATATATATATATATATATATATAGATAGATAGATAGATAGATACGAACAGACTGAGATAGATAGATAGATAGATAGATAGATACGAAAAGATTGAGATAGATAGATAAATAGATACGAACAGACTGAGATATATATATATATATATATATATATATATATATATATATATATATATAGATAGATAGATAGATAGATAGATAGATACGAACAGACTGAGATAGATAGATAGATAGATAGATAGATAGATAGATAGATAGATAGATACGAAAAGATTGAGATAGATAGATAGATAGATAGATAGATAGATAGATAGATAGATAGATACAAACGGACTGAGATAGATAGATAGATAGATAGATAGATAGATAGATAGATAGATAGATAGATAGAAGATAAGGAAGAGAAATAAAGAAAGTGAGCCGGATAGGTAGGTAGGTCGCTAGGTAGGTGTTAGTGAACAGAAAGAAAGAATGAAACAATGAAAGTGAGCCGGATAGGTAGGTTGGTAGGTGCAAATGAGCAGAAAGAATGAAACAAAGGAGTAAACTGAAATAGATAGATAGATAGATAGATAGATAGATAGATAGATAGATAGATACGAACAGACTGAGATAGATAGATAGATAGATAGATAGATAGATAGATAGAGTTTTAACGTTAAATCCCCAATCAAGTATTTCATAGCAGGTAAATTGTGTGGTTTATAACACGCACACATACACACACACAGATATAATACATACATACACACACACACACACACACACATATATATATATATATATATATATATATATATATATATATATATATATATATATATGTATGTATGTATGTATGTTATAAAATAAGCAACACCTAATGGACTCTGCTACAGAGAAACACGGGTGAAAGCGAACTCAACCTTTCTTAACTGGCAGAGCCTTAATATTTCACAAAAATTCCCGGTGAGCTGTGGTCTGCAACAACTAAGTTTCATCCAATCATCGACTGCTCGGCAATCATCTGGTGATCGGCAACAGTTATTTTTGAAAATGTGCACTTTATACTCGCTTGCTGACAAGGGTAGCTGATACGTACATGCCATGAAAACAAAATCCGTGAGTACTTGGGACGTGGATAATGGCCATGCGGCCAAGATAGGAAATCCGTTAAAATCAACCCTCCAAATAACTTTGTATAAAATGCATGAATCTTTTAGTATATATATATATATATATATATATATATATATATATATATATATAAATTCTGTTTAACATTAACTATGGCTCTGTGTGTATAAGGGACGATCCCAAAAATATCTTATAATAATTTCCACCGAAAGTACACGAGATCCAATAATAATAATAATAATAATAATAATAATAAATTGCGAGAAATTGTATTAAACCAAAATGCAGATTCTATGATAAATATCCAGAAACAATTGACTATCTTGTATCAGACTGCACGGTATTGGCACCCACTGTATATAAAACCGGCAATCACAAAAGTGCATCCTTATTGATATGGCAGTCCCTGCAACCGGCAAAGTATCTTTGAAGATCTTCAAAAACCTGTTAAAATACAAGGATCTTGTAGCAGATGAGAAAATCAACAATATCAGTTGTAGCTGCTTTGCTTGAGGTGAACTCGATTAAAAAAATAATCTACAATAACTTTCTGCGAAAGATAGTGGAATGGCATTTCCGTTGCCATTCTCCATAATTATGGAGTTTTCTTCTATTGGACAGGACGCCACCCAACTAAATATAGCCTAGTCTACTCATAAAATTGAACTTAAAACAATGACAGAACGCAAGGATTTTGAAATTACCTTCCCTGCCTCACGATAGAAATTTTCCAAGCGTAGCTTAGATGTGGCACAAAGCCGAAAGTATGGGGCATCCAATGAGGATTGAACTCACTACGCCGTCGTAATTGTTCTAGCAAGACAAACTTGTTAACCATTACACCGCCTCGAGGTGCCCGCCCCTGGCTCACGATACAGCCATTGCGTTTTGTCTTAAATCTTCTTTCCATTTCCATGTCAACCAACAGATCAAAAACGCACACGTTATCTCTCGTAACACACGAAAATAGGTTTGCCTTATCACTTCAGAAAGTTCAACTAAATATTGTATATAAACATTTAAAAACTTGAAACGATAATGTCCCTTTCTTTACTGTATAACAATGCCAACAAACCAACAGATTATTTTTTCTATAAACATGTTTCTTATAAACATATATTTATATGTAAATATATAGTACAGGTAATCGATCCGTTGATATATAATCCGGGTGGATCCTAGTAATATTAATTATTAAAACTGATCCACAGAGAGCTCGATTTTTATTTATATTTTAACAGAGCATATGCATTTTTTTACAGCAAAAAACAAAAAAGATTACCTCAACATAGATATAGCCAACCTCAAGCCATTCTGTGTGTGGTTATCATCAGTTCCTAAGTTGTCTGTCTCGGAGCATTGTTTTAAAAAAAATGTCAGTCCTCCTCTGGTAGGCGTCTTGTTAATGAGAATGGGTTTGTGTTAATGATTGGTATGCGCGTACGATATCTTATCTCGGGGAAAGCGGTCTCGGTTTGAAGTTTATTTATGGCCAGAACCTTTGTTGTTTGTAGATTAATATCAGTTCCTACTACGGGGCGTTTCTTATACAGGCCCTCGAATATGTTTTGTCGTATTTTTCTCGCGAATACCAGCTAACACCACAATTATTTTCATGGTTCTCATCGGCCTTTTTCTGGATTCACAGATTTTTTTTTTTACTACAGGTGTCCAATATTGTTAATAAGTGATGGGGGATTTAAACTTAAGCCGTTAAGATTAATGTAAATTAGTTGAGTTATAGATTTATAGATTGTTAGTAATACTCGGGTACCCAATGGAATAAATCATGGTGTCCAACACACTTATATGCGTACATATCTTCATACAAACATATATGCATATTTACATGTCTATACATGTATGCCACTATACGTACAAATACACCCCCACATATATGCACCTGTATTCTTATGCAATTTGGAATTTATTTCTATGTCTACATTTCATGATTATTTCTCTTCGTTGATTTAATACTTTGCATTCATCTTTATATCTTATAATCTTGAATTTTTTCTTCTAAACATAGCTTGCACGAAAACTATTGGGGGTGTTCATGAAACCTAGAATTTCCCAATTTATTTGAGGAGTCAGACCCTTTTCTTTCAATTCCAAATTTTTTTTCGAAAGGGCTGTTTGGTGTTTTAATTTTGGATATGGGAATGAATGTCTGTGTGCATTGATTCTCTTTTTAAATTCTCTTGCAGAAATGCCGATGTAAATATTATGTTTTGTCGTATTTTTCTCGCGAATACCAGCTGACACCACAATTATTTTCATGGCCTTTTCAGCAGCTATATTTCCCAGGAATCATTTTTTTCCAGCTTTCCGAGCATGAAAGTTCCGATCACAATTTGTGTCTGCGCGAAATCATTGTAAACGTGTCCTCGAAGTCCTTTTGCTTGCTGGTAGAACGAGGAAACTTATAGCCTCTAACAACTTTGGATCGTGAATAATGGCGGCTGTGTAATAGTGTATTAAATAAGAGTAAGTCATGTATGCCTCCTCTCTTCACTAGGTATTAACATCTGCTGATGAAGAAGAATGTTTTGCATGTAAGTTTGATTTTACTCTTGTCTCATCTAGAGTATATTTGCCTTACTTACCCCTTAGAATTGAGTCCTGTTAAGTGATAGAAACATAAACCCTTTTTATAGTTTCTTCAATCATCTCTACACTGTTTCCCAACAGAGAATGTGAACCTGATATTATTCCTGCAATAATCTTTAAGAAATATGCTCCTGAAATGGCTCCTGTTCTCTTTAAACGCTGCAATAAATGCCTGGTTGCGTCTTTCATTCCGACTTGTTGCGAATCCAGTTAAGAACT